TTCTCCTGATATCCTGGGTGGCAGAGACATCCACCAATAGGAACCAGCCATTCTCCGTCAGCGCCGCAGTACATTTTAGGCTCCTCTCTCTCTTCTGATTGGTTTACACATGACCCCCTGACCTCCACTAAGGAAGACGTATCAGCTCCGGTGACGGTGTCAGGAAAAGTTGCCAGGTTCCGTATGGTGAGTGGGCAGGTTTTGTAGAAAACTCGGACAGAAACCAAAGCGATGCAGGCACCAACGTCCTGAAAGGCCAGGTAGAAACCTTTACGGGTTGTCACCTTTACGTCCCTCACCTCAGTGTTCAGTTTCATGATGCGGTCACCAACATCCACCTGGATAGAAGAAGAATGGAGTGTTATTAATGAAAAGTGCAGAAAAATGTGTCAGATGTTGATTTCTTTCAAACTTAAGTGGGAGTTTTTATTGAACCATGACTGATCTTCACATTATCAGCATTTGGCACTCATCCAGATAGACATCCATTGATTTCAAAGGTAAATCAAGCTGTAATGCCGACAATGTTAAAAATCTGAAGTAATTTTAGAAAAGACTAAATGGAAAACCCCAGGGGAAGGCAGAATGGACATCCAAAATAAAAATACAAGATAAAAGCAAATTAAAGTGAGCCGAGGAGGGAGGATAACGAAGTCAAAGCCTGACTCAGTTGTTGAGTGTTACCTGGGTGAAGCTTTCGTCTGCTGCCACGGTGTCCACCTTAATGAAGCTGCTCTCTTTGATGTAGCTCTCTCTGTCTTCGTTCGACTCGTGGTAGTACAAATTGAACGTCTCCTTCAAGACAAGAGGGACAGGAAAATGCCAGACTGAGGTGTCTATTCATCATCATCAGCGCTCATCTTTTCTCTTAATATGATAATGAGTCAAAGGGGGGTTTTGTGCTTCAATAAACCAGCAGCTGTAATATATAATAAAGCTCCATTAGCGGCAGTCTGTCCTTCAACTAATTAGCTAAAAAGTTAGCTTGTAAAGATGTCGAAACTTTAGCAGAAAATAAGACTTTTGTTAAAACATTTGACTGTTATTACCAATACAATGACTCCTACGCCGGGAAAAGCATCATAAGTATGTTTTATTTTACCTTGCAGGTGCCGGTGACCCCCGGCAGGCTGTTACAGTCTCTCAGGGTGAACTTGACTTCGACGTAGACCCTCTGAGCACCAGAACGAGGAATCCAGTCCGTCCTTAACCAGTTGTTCTGATTGGGCTCCAACACATTGCACACCTGGTATGTCCTGATGGGGATGTTCTTCTCATCCATAATACTCACCTCTTCCCACTGCCAAAGAATACAAAAGATTTTATCTAGGGAGGTCGTCAACTGATTACTAAGATTTGAACTCCTTAACAAACAAGATATTCTTAAAATTACAGACCACTCTTATTCATGCATCATGAATAGTATTAGCTCTATGCATTGAAGGCATCTACTTGTTTTAGTTCATGCAAACAAAAGGAAACCCATTTGTAGATTGTTAGCTATGCTGCACTGAGGTGATCAACACTTATCAGTCATTGACAACGTTATGAAACTGTTTCTGGGCAAAACAGTTAAGAAGAGGACAAAACCTTTTCTTGTGATATATGAAAGGTATTAGTAGGAAGATGCCATGTTGTAATGAAATCTGGAAAACAAACGATATACACTAAACAGCAATATAAAACCATGTGAATGAGGAAGTGTCTAGAATCTAAAAGGTTTCTGAAGCCCTTTTCATGGATGCACTCATGACACTTTCCAGAGGCAGGATTTGATGTAAAAAAAAAGAAAACTACAGAAGTCATATTGGCAAGCAGAGAATAGTATAAAGCAGCTTCATTACGTTCACAACGATCAAACCAGTTTGGCAGCAGTTGCATGATATATACAACATCATCCCAACCCAACTCGTTGGCCGTGTATTTTTCCTAAATATTTCCTGCAACGTTCCCAAATCAGCTCACCCCGACTTCTTGCAGATATTTTAGTATGGGGCTGGCAGAGAAAAGTCCAGATACAGTCAGGTTGAACAGCATGACCACTTCTGTTCACAAAGGCACACAGAAAATTTGTGGAAATTTCCAGAGGTGCAGTGCATGCATGAAAGGGGGGTGGACGAGTCTACTAGCCAAAGTTTCAGATGTCATAGTTTCTGACGAGCATCAACAAGTAAGGATTTAAAAAAAAAGAAGTAATCTGACGCAGTAGCAAGTAAAAATAAGACAACATTTTAAAATGTATTATCATTCAAATGTTTGAAAAGTCTGATCGCCCGATTTCATACTGTTATAACTAAACTCCATCTTTAGCCTGAGCATACACGAGCTTTAACACAGAAATGACCAACAGGCTCACTGAGGAGAACTTATCTTGTGTTTCTATCCATGTGAAAACATTTTACCCTCATAAAAACAGAAAATCAACAGAACATACTTTTCAGAGATTAAGGGGAATCCTATAATTCACTGCTGTCGTTTGATACCACACACGTTCGCATTCACCCTTGCATCAATATTCTGCAGTGTACAGTGGTTCAGATTTGTTGCAACTCCAAGGTTTTTATAGGCATATTTCCATACGAGTGAAGCCCTGCTCAACCTTCACTGCACCATCCATCTCAATAGAGCCGACTGTTTGCCTTGTACTGTGACCCTTCAAATGACCGCTGAGCTTCTCAACTCTAAATTGGCTTTTTATTGCCCCTGAATAATAATCTGCACTAGTGAGAGCTGTATACACACTAAATGCACCGTGTCCACTGAGAGCAAAAGAGAGGGAGAGTCAGGGAAAGTGTGCGTGATAGGGGGTGGGAACTATGTGTGAGTGTGTCTAATTGGGCTTGATCTAGGCTATGTGTCATCACGTCGGATCTTATTTGCAGATGTTGGCTTATCACAGATATAATGATAAATTGGCAGATGTATTGGCAGCTATAGAAAAAGAAACTGAAGGTAAGAAATTGCTCTTTTTTTCTGTAAATTTCACCCCTTTTGTTTGTTTGTGTAAATATTTCAAATAGAAAGCAAAATGACATTGCGGTTAAGTTTGATGTTAATACACTGACTTACATGTTTTATGTATTTTTACTTAATTAAAAAAATCAAAATATTGGCCTGTAAATAGAATATCGCTCAAGCTTTCCAGTCTGTAACAGTGCATTCCTCCACAACACAGTACATGAATAAAAGACCGTCTACGCATGAGCGAGGGCATGAGCACATGGTCGTGTCTTTGTGTGTTTGTGTGTAGTTGTATGTTTTATCTGCCTGTCGTTGTAGGTTATGTGTGTGTTGAAGAAGATAGTTGTAACAAAAAAAAGCTGTCACGGGAGTATGATGCCTCCTTTTTTTGTGTTCATCTCTTTTTGAGTCTTTGTCAGCAGACAGAAATCACAGCTGTCAGAGGGGGTAAAAAAAAAAGAAGCTTTGCCCCAACCACACAGAGATGGTGTTTTGTGTGTATTTGTGTGTGTAGCTATGGGATGCAGGAAGGTGGGGGTGCCTGTAATCAAAAGCCCAGTGCGTGCAGACCAGGACCCCGTCAATCAAGCAGCATGTGAGAGAATGAGAGCATGGTGACGGAAGAAATACAAGTCAAGTTCACCAATAACTCTTAAACCAACAGAGACTGGGAGAGCATAAAGAGAGAGAGGTGAAGAGGAAGACATAAAGATGGCAGATCATAATGTACTGAAATTTCAAGAATGATGAGAAGATGTAACATCAAACAAACATTTCCAGGATTCATTCTGGCTTGGTAGTCAAAATCCCTAAAAAATGACACCCACCACCAAGCTGGTTAATGTTTTCTGCAGTGCCAAACACAACGCCAGCAAGCTCATATTAGCACTTAGGCTCGCTGAACAACAGCACATTTCAAGATCTGTGGGATGATTCTTTACAGTTTCCAGACCAAGTGTGTGCAAGTATGTGTTTGTGTGAGATAGGGGGTGTGTGTTTTTGAAAAGAGAGAACACGCTGTAAACAGTGTATCTGTAATTAAAAATGATGAAATAATAAGTAAAAGAAGAAGAAGAAGCGCTCCCACTCACCCCTCCCTCTGAAGGACTGGCAGCCCATTTCAGCTCTCCTGGCACTGTCCGGGTATCCAGCAGGGTCACTGAAATGCACACACACAAACACACACAAGCACAAACACATACACACATGCGGTTGGTTTAAGAGCAAACAGCATACAGTGCTTTATTCAGCAATAGATAAATGCATATTTATCCAGCAGTGAGAAATGAAAAAAAGAAACACTAAACACCACAAGATCACCAGCACAGAAATGAATTCCAAGTTTGGCAACTCTCTTGATTCTCAATTTATAACTTAGAACATAAACTTCCTTATATAAAGAAATTCAATACATATTGTAATTGTTTTATTAGGATACATATCAGATGAAGAGTCCACACTTTCAGATCTATTTTAATGCTGTCAGAACTAAACGCACTAAGAAACAACCTGTAGGTATAAATGCACTCTTTTAAACAGTCTATTGGTCAAAGATTAATCTGTTTTAAACATTTTGTTTTCTGCAGTTGCAGACATGTTAAAATATCCAAGCAACAAAAGACTTATGTGTTATGGTAAAGAGGCTGTGCATTTGCATTAAAAACACATGAAGGCAGAACTGTACAAAAAAAATAATTTTAAATTCTTTTTCTTAAATCTCCCTAAATTGAACTTTTGAGCTCTGTTAACTTGCATGTATTTGCCTGCGCTGCTCGTCACCGCAGGACGCGCACGGAGCGGAGTCTCCCAGCAGTGCAGGACAGCGGAAACCGGACGATCCCCCTGATTTAACTCACCTTCGTTGGGTGGATATATCCTCGTCCTCGAACTTGAAACGAGTGTAATTATCCAAATGAAAGTAGAAAATATTCGCCTTATATTCGCAGCCATGTGTCCCGGGTGAAAACGTGCGTGTTCCGCGTTAGCTCCGCGCGCTGCACGAAGCGGCTCCATCCCGGTGGGAAAAGTGTGTGTTGAATGAACCCAAGTGTGGAAGCGAGTTGGATGCAGCAGCGGATACTGGGGCGGTCTCTCACACTCAGATGCTTCCCTTAATGGTGAGTCAAACGGCATGAGCCAAATGACAGACAGCACTGTGGTCCACATCAGCGACGATGTCTCATCCTTTACAAACTGTTTTAGCTCAAAATGAAGAAAGAGAAACGAAAATGGAGTAACTGTTTGTCCTTTCAGAAAACTATAGAGTTTAAAACCTTGAAGAGAAAATAAAAATCTTCCCTGCTTAATAACTGATAACGTTAAATGAACAAAGAAAATGACTTTTCCACAAAATTTTTGTGGAACCATTGGTAAAGGCCAATTAGGACCCTTCCTCTTGAGACCCACTATTTCAGATAAATAAGATATAGTAGCTTAGTGTTAGCAAGAGCAAAAGTCTTTAGGCCTGTATTTGAACGTCTGAAGTGACTTTAAACAGTCATTACCCTGAGGGGTGCTTGCACGTGGGTCAAAATGTCATATCACGTTTTATAATTCATTTTTTTATCACATGAAAAATAAATAATGTATGTGCCACAATTTCCTGATGAAAAACAAAAAACTGCATCAATCTGGTTTCCCTCACAGCAACTAAAGTTGTTGAAATCTCTTTGTCCACAGGAGAACAACACAACAGTGTGACTACAGCGCCACCTGTTGATGGTTGTTGGGGGAAGGAGGAGAGCGCCAGTGAATGCTCAGGGATCTTTTATAGCACTTTGTTGGATATTTTTAGGCTAATAAGATGGGAGTAGGCTTCAATCACTCAACCACCATCTGCCAGCACAATCTTGATCATTTTCATCTTCAAAGTATGGACATGATAAAGAAAAAGCAGCAGATACATTCATCGTAATGAGATGCATAAACAAAAAAGGAAGGAGGACTATGGCCTCATGTAGAAGCGTGGTGGAGCAAACAAAGAGCAGGCTCATGACCCGTCCTCCTACGCTCTCCCTTTCTCGAAAATGATGGAGAACAATCGCACTGGATGGAGGCACAGCTTGAAGGAGTAAATACTTTCAAATACATTTATCTATTAGAGTTTTCTTGTTTGCTGTACATGAACAATAACCACAAAAAATGAAATAAACGACAGATAATAGTCCGATTTTTTCGAATTTCTCATTTGACTTCGAACCAACAAAGACGGATAAAAAGAGAGGTTTGGCTGATTTCAAGGAGGTTGTTGTAAACGAGGATCTGTCTTAATGTGCCTGCATTTGCATGTATGCGCTTGTGTGAGTCTGATTCGTCTCCATCTCGCTTTGTGTCTTCGCAGTTGCTACGACGAAACCATCTCGATCCCCTGTAAGGCATCATAAAGGACCCAGGAAGAGCATCTGGCGCTTTGAGACGCCAAAAAAAACGATCTCCCCGCTTCAACCTGCCACTCTTCCCCCCCATCGACCATAATACGGTTTTCACGTTTCATTCTCCCCCAACGCTACGACAGACTGCGCAATCACAAAGACCCAATTAGCCGAGATGGGATCACGATTTCGCCAGAGGACCGAAGGGCCAATCATATCGTGCGGCGCATGGCGAGGGCCTATAGGGCATAAGCACAGGTGGGTGGGACATGGCTGTTGGGCGGAGGAGACACGGTGACATGGATTGAGAACAGCCCCGTTGTTTCTGGTCATTTGTGTCACAGAAGTTTTGATTGATGACCGTCGGGATGTTTTTCCCACTCTCCCTTGAGATTCCCACCACTCCAGAGGGGGTTTCCACATCGGGCCCTCAGCTTCGAAGCTCCTCTTTAAGTTCTTCAAGCCCTTAGTCCTGTGACACACAAAAACTACTTTTTGGTCCATTCAGGATCCCAGATGGCTGCTGCCCACACATCTGTATTGTAAAGCACCAAATTTAGCTTGTTTCTATTTTTGGCTGAACCTACACTCAAACAAATAAAGTATCTCCGAGAGTCTCAGTGATGGAGAGATTGAAAAGGACATGAAGAAATAAAGTAAAGAACATGGGAAGTAGCCAAATGTAAATGCGTGCGTGTGTGTGAGAGTGTAAAGAGAAAAGCCCGAGGGACGGTAGGTGTGTGGGCGGCTGAGAGAGACGAACAAAAGAAGCAGAGAAGAGAGATGAGGAGCAGCGCACTGCCAGGGAGGATTTGATTGGAAGGGTGGGTGGTAGTGGTGGTATAGTGGTGGTGGTGGTTGGGGGGGTGGGGGGGGGGGGGGTGTTGAAAAAGGATCTTTCCTCAAAGCCTCACTAAGATATTCCTGGAGCGAGTCAGGGTTTCATTTGGCGAGTGCATACATCGTTCTGGGAGATAAAACCATTTAATATTCACACGCCTTGACTGATATTCTCCGGGTTGTATGACAGACACTATTCAGATTGTCTGAATCTGTGTAGTCTGAGCAAGTGTGGTTGAACTCCTCAGGACGACAAAGCGTCATCAGCGTGTCAGAGGCGTTTTTTCCGTCAGGACCGAGATCTCTACGTAACAGCTGCTTGTCTGGCGAATTACTCAATTCATGTGTGTGGATGTGTGTCTGTGTTGTTGTTTTTTTTAAAATATTTTGCATGTGTGTGTACTTGATAAACAAAGGAAGAGGCGAACAGAAGGTTTCATCAAAAACACCAAAACACCAAAAGTGTTTGTGTATGTGTATTTGCATCATGTGCACACTTTGATGATTGAGGAAATCTCCATCAGCATCTTGCTTTAGAGCGTATATGTGTGTGTGTGTGTGTGTGTGTGTGTGTGTGTGCGTGTGTGTGTGTGTGTGTGTGTGTGTGTGTGTGTGTGTGTGTGTGTGCGTGCACGAGGAGTGTATGCGTGTGATTGCATAAACATGGTGTCAGAGTGATGAGATGTTCTCTGCATCCATCTGTTCGGCTGGCATTTACAGCTTTAAAGGGCTACCATAGAAGAGAGGTGGAAAAAGACAGAACACAAAAAAATATATAGACAGAGATGAGCTGTTCAGTGAAGAGATTCTACAATTTCTTTTGTAGAAAAGAGCAAAGTATCATTTAAACTTCACCTGTGGAGTTCAGAGTGATCTTTGAATAATTCTGAGGGTTTGTGAGAATCTGTGAGAGCGTGTGTGAGAGTGAAGCAGCAGTGTGTCTTCCTGTGTTTGTGGTTAGGAGGGTGTTTTTTTTTTTGTACCATTGTGTGTTTGAGAGACAGAGCTACATCTCAGTGTTCTTGTTCCTCCTTATCTGCCGTCTCGGTGGAGAGCCAGGGTTGTTTCCCCCCTCGGCGATGTGACCTGGCTGTGATACCGCATGCCCTCGCCTCCGCAGACAACAGTGCACCCTAAAAATACTCGTCTTTCTACCATTCTACACCCCTGCCCCTTTATTCTGCTCACCTCTTCTGGCTCACTGTATTCTCCAGGAGGAAGCTCTGCCAGATTAAAACACCTCGGGGCTCTTACTAATGTCACAGAGGTCCTTTACTTTTATATTTCCCCCTCTTTTCTTCTTCTGCTACTCATTCTGCTCTTGCAGCATCGGCTCAAACAGCAGAAGTGCAACTCAGACTGTTACATCACAAGTTTCTTATCATTTTTCCACAATAATTCCTCATTCACCGCCCCCCTGCAGCTACTTCAGTCACCCACACTCTGGACACACAGGGCAGATGGGATGTAGGAGGAGACGCTGAGGACAGAATCTGCCCAGCTCGTGTAATTATACATCCAGTAATTGACCATAAGTCCTCAATAAAACACTGAAGAGCATTGTTTTCTGCAGCTCACAGGTTTGACAGCCTGGAACGATGTTAATTATGATAAACTAGGCACTTTTTTGAAGATAATGCAACAGTTTTTTTTTTTTAAATCTCTGTGCTGCCTTACTCACTGCTAAAGCTCTGCTTTGTTGTTTAGTGCTTTTAAGGATGCTGACAATTATCCTTTCTGTAGTTTTCAGGAAGTTTCTCCCTAATTTAAATTGGTTTTAAACAGTGATCCTTTGCCACATTTGACGTTAGAGGTTAGAAAGCTGCTCTTTTATGGTCTTTTGTTCTGTGTGTGTGTGTGTGTGTGTGTGTGTGTGTGTGTGTGTGTGTGTGTGTGTGTGTGTGTGTGTGTGTGTGTGTGTGTGTGTGTCCTAGCCTTTCCTTTGGCCCAAACCCACGCAGGTGACCAGAGGGGGTCCTGTGTGGGTGGACAACTCAATAGTGACCCCCCCCCCCCCTTCTCTCCTTACCCCACTCTACCTCCCCTCCATGCCCCTTCTCTCTTTTCTTGCCGTCCATCCACCAGAAGGAGTCCAAAGAGAAAAAGAGGAGGGAGGAGAGGAGAGGGAGCCCACTACTTTTTTTTACAACCACTTTCAACATAACACACTTGCAAACCTTTCGATATGGCTAGAATGAAAGCTTAATGAAAAATGGTATTAACATGCTTGTTTTCCTTTAACTAGTAGCTGCTGTTAATGAGATACAAAGCCTGAGATGTGTTGGGAAGAGTTTCTTGTAAAGAAGTGTTTGTTGTATAGAAACCTAGTAAATTACAACATTGACCAATTATTATTTTTATTAGAAACCTTCTGTGGAAGCTGCAATCAATATGTTTGAATGATCAGTCGACTAAATGACTCATGTCTGATGCTAAGCTAGTCACTCAGAGTGACAAACTGATCAGCAATTATAATCTATATCTCTGCTCTGTTCTCTGAAGTTCAAGTGAGTATACATAGAATGACGCACGTGATGCTCTGTGTTTGACAGATCGGCTAACAGTTTAGAAATCGATTTTCTCACCAAAAGTTGAGAACGCATAGACTTGTCAATGTTGTGTTAGCAGTTTGTCTGCCCGGTGGCTTGAATAATATAATGTCTGCTTTAAGTTATTAATGGTGTTCGAAGTGTAAACACATTTTTTGTTTTGTTTCATTGGTTAAACTGCTAGTTTCCACAATGTTTTGGAAATAGAAAGTTTTACTTTTCTGCAACAAAAAGTCCCATATTGAATATAGAAATGGTAAATAGTTAGAGCAGACATTTTTATTGATATGTAAAATGTTTTTTTTTTTTTTATGGGCCCCCTTTAAACATGATCAAAATTAGATCTGACTTCTATTCTGTTGTTCCATTTTTAAATGATTTGACTTATTTTCTCAGCTCTGAAGTATCACTGGTCCCTCTGATGATAAAGCAGGTTTGTGTGTCAATCACTAAAACAGTATGGAGTTAAGAGTCTGTGTTTTTACAGAGGATTAACAGGGATTAGGCTATCAAAGCAGTTCATCATGTCACCTCTGACTTTATCAGCAGTCACACCAGGTCACACAAACATACACACAAACACACAAAGCCAGGAGATGAATAAGAAGCTATGACATCTGTCAACATTGTAACACACCATGTTTGATAGCATGGCCAGTGCAGTGCTTGTCTTGCTTAACAACCATCAGAGGCTCATAACAACACTGCCACCCCCCGGGTCAAAGTAGAGGGGGGTGGTGCTGCTCTTAGACACCATCAAACTTGGCAAGGGTTCGTGTGATGTGCTAAATGGAGATGTGTGGGCAGAACTTGCCAAGTGGGAGGACAGAGGAGGTTTCAAGGTGGCCACAAGTTGGGCAAGTCATAGCAAGAACATAATGAGTCATGATCTCTGAAACCGTCACAAAATGACAGAGCTCAGAGTAAGATATGTTTAAAGGTTATAACAAAAAAAAAATATCTGGAGTATTTAGATTTATTATCAATATAGATCTGATATGAGTATTCTAATCTGCACAGAAAGAAAACCAAATATTATATTATCAGACTGTCAATCCTATGCAGTGTTATTTACTATGAATCTTGCTAGCCTACTGTTAGCCTTCTGGCTATTAGCTGAGCAGAAGTACTCTTTGAGATATACAGTATCTCCCATTGCCAGATAGATGAGACCTGTGCTATTTACTGGAGTAGTGCACAACGTCTGGTACGCTGCACAACATTTCCACTGCATTGGCATTTCATGGCATTTTTTCAGGGATGAGTCAGATCCCAAGGTTGTTTTTAGGAAAACAAAGCTTTAGAAAGGTAAAATTATACTGCATAATGCATGAAAACACAACACTGTGGTCCTATCTTTAGCAAGTAACCATGGTGTAAACAGGATAAGACTGACAGACCCGTCCTCAACCTTCTGGGAGTTGGTTTTCCCTATAAAAACCCTGCTCAGTGTAAAGTACCCTTTACTGTATGTAGCGTACACCTAACCAAGACATTTCTGTTCAAGCTTTGAGGAACCGGAGATAAAAATCCACAAATTAATCATAGCTACTGTTCATTTGCTGAGACCTTGGCAAGTCATTCAACTGCAGCACAGCTTTGACAGCAAGCAGCAAGCTATGTTTCTGAAGTGCCCTTGAGCCAAAACACACAATCCCCATCAGCTACAGTGGCTCTTATCTACTGCTGGCCTTCACACTCTTCTGGGATCTCTGTGTGCAAAGGGCCACAACAAGATTTGTGGCGAGTATAGATTTCTCCCGAGTATCACTCTGAGTAGCGTACTAATAAAATCCCTTGCTTCAGTCAATGACGAGGTGTAAATGGAGTTACAGGAAAGGAGACCCTTTGTGACTTTACAGATTGAATTCATGCATTCATTCATGAATGTCGCTTACACACTATTTACTGTTACAACGACTCATTTACAGCTGGTACATGCTTTGTTTTTGACATTTACATGATGATATGAAGCGTTTACAACTTGAAGATGTTGTGTCTATCTGGGTCAGCTGAGCTAGATTTGGAGTTGTCAGCTTTCTGCACGTTAAATAGGTCATGCTAACGAGGAGGGGGGCTTGACAAGCAACTCATACTCCATCAGTCCTCAACACAAAACAACCTCCAGATTGCTGATTATGTAAAAAACCCTGACTCTTTAGCTTTAGGCTACAACATCAAATTATGACAATGGTTATGAGTCCATTTTGTCTAATAGAAAATAGATGAAGTAAGAAAGGTCAATATTTTGTTCAACAAATTTCATAGAAGTGTAATTATGCATGCATGTGCACCAAGAGCTAAAGATGCAGTAATGTGCTGTAGCAAAGGAGAAATCTGATGAAGCGGAGAATTGGTGATGATTAGAGTCAGCTGCACTGTATATGAAGAGCTTCACAGCACAATTATTCAAACAGAAAGCATAAATATAGATGACAGCCCAAGGAGACTGCATGAACTTAAAGCATCAGCCTGCCAGCTCCACAGTGAAACTCTCAAAGATCAACACAGATATCAAGGTGTAGCTAAATGGCACAGTCAGGGTTTAATTCATGATCAAAGTGCAACATTTGCATCTTCGCCTGCCATGACGCAATAGTGAGCTTCCTGTCCTCAATTAGGAGCCACAGGTTATAAAAAACAAGAGCACCACTAAAAGTATAAATATGTGCGAGGCTGTGTTTTCAAGTGTTCAGCCGGATTCTTCCCACCATCAACATGTCTCCAAGATGTCAGATTGCCATTTTTGTCGTTCTCTACTGCATCATGCTGGGTCTGGTCAGTCCGACTCCAGCTGCCCGTAAGTTTATCTCATAACATTTTAATGCTAACCATTAACTGTTAACACAAAAGATATAATTTAAGGCCAAAAGGGGCCAATGTGATGATTAGTAATGTGGAGTGTCTGTTTGTTTTTGCGCAGAAGACTCTCAAAAGGCCAAGATGTGTTGTACAACATTCAACAGGAAGCCAATACCTTTCCGGCGTATTACGGGCTACAGAGAAATAACTTCTAAGGAAATCTGTCGCAAGGAGGCGATCATGTAAGAGTCTCTGCTACTTTGTGTCCAACCTGCGACACAGCCAGCACCAGTGGGACTCGCTGACTATGAAATTAGAATGCCATGGTCCCAAAATGTGAAACTTTTCCGGAGACAGGTGTTGAAGACTGATTGTGTTGATTGGATTTATTCCAAAATAATGAAAAGACACTAGTGATTGATGAATGGAAAGAAGTTCTATTGCTGTATCAGTAGAATTTCTTGCCAAAAAAAGTAAGCCATCTGATAAAGTCAACAACAGCAGTTTGCAATAAAGACTGTTTGAATTTCATAACTCTAAACAGGATGTTATTCAGTCGGTGCCAAATCTCCATAAATCGCATCAAGCCTTTAGGGAAGACAAAATTAAATAACTGAATATTAAATCACAATACTTTTTGAAGAAAATTGTTTCAGTGAACAATGTCACAAATCTACAAATTTTTTTGTAAAAAAAAAAAAAAAAAAAAAGGTTGTTATAAAAGGTAAAATAACAAATTTGAAACTGACAGATACTAATAACCTACACTGTCCTACAGTATAATGCTCTGTGTGTTTCATGTCTACAGTTTCTCTACCATAAGAAAACAAGAGATATGTACAACACAGAGGGACCAGTGGGTGAGGAACCTTATGGTTTTACTCAGGTATGACACTTCTGCTCACTTTAAATACCAAAACGTTTCAGGTTAGACTTTTATTTCAGGAGTAGCTTTTTTGGTGAATTGTGTTTTCTTTGTCTGTAATAACTCGTCTCTCTTTACAGTTTGAAACTGGAAAGGTTGGCCAAACTCAGACAGGCCCCCCCCTTCATTTAATCATGGAAGTGGATCTTTCTTCAACACCACTCAAACCATCGCGGACAGCACTGAAGGTTTCTATGAGTAAAAAAACAAGCTGTTTGTCCAATAGACATGGACAGTATTCAAAGAATTAAACCTGCTGTGATTTAGTCAGGTGTAATCTCTGAAAAAGAAATGCTTATTTTAATTACTTGCCTAAACATACACAGCTTCAGACCAATACTCAAGTATATAACAAGTATCCTATAAACAAATAATCATGACTTAGGGGGGACCTGGAAGAACAGTATACAGGCCACAGATGTGTCAATAAACATTTGACATAATAATAACATGATCCTTTTTGATTTTTGTTTATCGTTGTTTTTAATTACTCATGTTTTTATTCTGCTGCTTGATCAAATTAATATGCAAAACATGTAATAAATAATCCTCATTAACAATAAAGTGAATTCATAATCCTCCAACATTGTTGTCCTTATTTTATAAAATTAAATTAGAACTTTTCTCACTGAAGTGAGCGTTACTTTCAAAGAAGCCATCCCTGACTCACTTTTTAATATTCATTGTAAACAGTAAACAGTTTTTTTTTTTGAGCCAATTTATTGGATAGGAGGCTGAAGAGAGACAGGAACTGTTAAGAGCAGCAAAGGGCCGAGGTTGGACATGAACCCACATCCCCTGCAATGAGGAATTGGCTAGGCTAGGCAATCCAGCGCTCCCTACATTTTTAAATATTCTTTTAAGTAATACTAATATGTACAAGGAAAGCTGCATATCATCAGTGAATAGTGTATTGTTCACAGATCTTCTTCAGATAGTGCTAAATGAGCAGACTGCTGTTCTGCATGCTGTGTTTTGGTGGCGTGACTTGTTTGCATGGTGTACTTAGAAAAGGATGCTGCCAGCACATCTGCTCCAAGGTGTCTGAAAACTTCTCGATGAGCTGTCCCGCTCCCTCGAGCTCATGCAAATGCACGGAATGACTGACAGGGAGGCTGTCTCTTGCGCTATTTCAGATCAACACCCCAAGGGGTTTACTGCTCCAGTCAGACAAGGTGACTCCTTCAATGACACACTGCTCTCATGTCAAGACATGACCTCATGTCCCCACTAGGTGGCACAATAGAACTATAAAAAAAAACAACCTCTGACAGCCACACCATCAGGTCTTGATAGTTAAATGGTAAGAAGAGCGAACTAATCCACCAATAATCAACCAGGAACAGAAACATGTGTGGAGAGGACAAATGCATTTATTTAGTTTATAACAAATAACAAAAAACTTTAAGTTCTCATAATTTAGTATGCATCATTAACATCTTTGTATCTTCTATCTCTGTAAAGCCAAATGTCATCTTGGCTATCTTACCACAAAATGGAAAGACAAATAAATAGAGCTAGTTATAAATAATAAATATCAAAGAATAACAAAACCTTTAAATATTATAAAATATTGAATATTGGCTTGGAATATTTCTTATTTCTTCAGGAGTGCTTTCAGAGGGCTGGAGGTTATTGTAGCAGTAGCAGACGTAGCGGACGTAGCAGATGTGGCAGGTGTACTGTTCTTCTTTGCTCTGCGGGCCTGCCTGTAAAAGCCACAAAGAGGAAATAACAGGGTAAACATTAGTTCATGCTACCTCTGAGCATGAGAAATTCTGTCCAAGAGGACAAAAGTTGACTCACTCGATCTCTTTGATTTTGGCAAACACCCAGTCCTGTTGGAAGTGGCTGCACACTTCTCCCTCTGAGGTCTCAAATCTGTGTGGACAAAATTAAGAACATCAATCACGCAAACCAGTTTTAATTGATAGCTGCACATGTCTCTGTTTGATATAATAGATGTGTGATTCTTACATGACAGCACGGACACATGGGGGTCTCCTCCTTTGGATCCTGTAGCCGAGGATGGGAGCAGTGATGCTCTGGACACTGACCTCTGTGCAGCACTCGTTCACCTTGATTTCTGATTTTCAGAAAAAAATCCAGGATTGGTTTTTATGAACACACATCTCTTGCATTTGCTGAATAAATACACATTGTTGGTCTTCATTTTCCTAAGAAGTAAATATCTTCAATCTAAAAGAACTTTTGTGAACTCTAGCTGGCTCATACTGCATTTTATTTTACAGGATCTCCCATAGGTGACTTACCAGCTGTTGCTGCCATGACCAAAACACCCACGAGGAGAGCAAGGCCTGCGAGTCTTGTGATGCAGAGCTGCATGGTTACAAAGTGAGATGCTCCTGAGGTTCTTTGCAGAAAAAAAGGGTTTGATTTGGCAGATGAAGCCGACTGATGATTTCCTCGGACCAGACATCTAGTTTTTATACAATGAAAAGAGGAACCAGGGAAAACTGAACGGACAGTCTGCAAGGGCTTTCTACGGAAATGTGTGCGCATGAGTGACTCCGGATACCAGGAAAGGACGCACTTGGGAAACACGGAAGTCACACATTTACGTTTTTTGATTGCATCATGACTGAGCTCATTAAGAAAATCAGTGACTAGGAATCTACAGAGCAGCGGAACCTGCTTCTGTTTCTTCCTCTGACCTTTCGTCAGTTTAGTTTTTAGTTTGTGTCAATTTTAACAAACAAAGCAGTACCTTTCCTCTAATGTCTTGATGAGTTTGTCCTGTACATGTGTAAGTAGAGTTGTTTCCCTCGGCTCTCTTTAAACAGTCAAATGTATCACTCATCATCAATCTTTGTGATGGAAAATGCCCCAAAAAATCTGCAGCTTGATATTAATCACTTCATCTGAAACCTTCCCCACGGCATTAAAATGAACTATATAGAAATCATAAATCTTTATGCTGATGATATCATTTACTCTTTTGGCTCATAAAGAATAATTTCATAAGAGCTTAAAACTCCTCAAAGGCTCAAACATAAAGAAATATTTTGTGAGGAGCTTGCATCTTTCTACCATATTCATTCACGTTTTAAGGCTTTCTTTTGGCAGCCTACTAACCTTACCATCACTATGTGACAAGCGTTTGGCCTGTTTTCTTCCTGTGAACTGTTCATTGCATACAGTCTGTTTGGTTATGTTTAAGCAGAAACTACATGGTTATAGTTAGGGAAAACAGCTTGGGTAGGGTTACAGCTATTGTGTTGTAACCCTACTGTAAGTTTAGATTTGTAGAATATTAAACACATTGAACATTTGGATGAATATTTATATTGTGCCTTTCTAACAGAAAAAATATTTATTAACTTGTCAAGTGTACTATAACCTCTGTCTGATGGTGTCTTCAGTAAGTACATTCAGGTATAAATCCTGCTGATTTCAGCAGGAATGTAAAGGCAACATCATGTGCTGGTCACTCTGCCCTATGTGTCATATTTCTGTTTCTTTCTAGCTGACAGCTATGGTCTGTGCAAGGGCAACAAAAGAGGAAGGAAGGAGATCCTTAGACTTTCAACCACAAACCACACATTTCCGAGCATCCACCACCCAGATTTGGACATTTGTCCTTGCATGATCCGTTGTTGCAGTTACAAGTCTCAACTTGTGAAAGGAGCCTCATGTGATTTTATAAAAAAAAAAGAAGAAAGGCCTCAAGTGTGAGCTGCCCAGGTTCAAATTGAACCTGTGGCTCCTTTCCTGCATGTCAGTCCCATAGACGGTAAATATTCATGGACAGAGAATAAGTGATGTCACACATCTGTTACTGCAGGGGCTCTGGAGAGCTCACAGGAGTCACCATGCTGGAAGTCCTGTTTAAGCCTAGCTTTCAAACAACCTAACGACCAGCTAAGAGCTGGAGCTGAGGCGTGTTTTTAACCTTCTGACAAAGTGTTACATCGTGCCCGTCTGTCAATCAGGTCAGCCTCGCGTATAACTATGGATATCATCAGTCATTCATAAAATCAAAACTGAGTCATTGCAAAACTTTCACCCCTGTAAAGTGTGTGCTGTGTAATAAATCGTATAAAGCTTAAATGTTTTACATCTAAGCTTTATATGATTCATTACATCCATATAAATAGTCATCTGTGACCTTTGGCAAAGTCTATTCATGACTTTACAACAAGTAACTGACACATGAAAAATGTTCAATCTCACACTGGACTCAAATAAAAGGGTAAAAAATGGTAATGTTTGTAGCTATTTAGATTTACACATTCTTCTGCCCCCTCTAAAAGAAGAGGGACTTAAAATGTATGGGTTCTCTACTGTGAATAAACTGCATGTGAAATAAACGATTAAAAGATCTCTTTCAGTGCATCATAAAAACATAGAGAGCCTGCGTTGACAGTTGCAGTGTCAGCTGATGTTGAACTAAAGGAGCATGACTTTACTGGATTGGTTTTCTGTGTGAAACAGAAGTGATTACTAAAAATGAGGAAGGAAGCATGAACAATGTGATTGCTTCCATTAAAATCAAAACTATAATTACAAAATGTAGAGGCTTGAGAGGCAGTTTCTCAATCTTAAGTTAGAAAGAAGGTTCTCCCTGCCTTTATACACATCTCATTCATAAGCTTTTTTTTTTAAATCAAGATTGTATACCAATCAAATAAAGTCAATTACAGCTCTAACTGTGTGGGAAGAAAAGTCAACAATTTACTGCCAAATTATAACAATATATAACATATTTTATTATAATTACAGCAGTGCCTTCGTACTTGTGAGAGTACAAAGACCTGTATACTTGTACACACAAAATGGCACATGACCATTAAGATGAGTGGGTAATATTATTTTCTTTCTGATCTGCTGCTGTTCATTGTACAAGTAAAGCACAATCACTACGGGAATAAAGCTGCTATAACAGACTATAACTCTCCTTTTAAGTTTAAATGCGAAATTTGTTAGGAAATTGCCACTTCATTTCATTGTTATTTACATATGTTGTGTGGTGCCAAAGCAACATTACAATAGTTCAGCATTTGTTGACAAGAGAATAAGAATCTTAATTGTGACAGCCGCTTGAAAGTTATCAGTTATTGGCTTCAATAAATGCTCTTTTGTGGCGATCTCATTGAGACCCTAGCTGCAGTAAGTAGCTTTCATTTCTGTAGTTTACAACTTAGCTATATGACATTGTAAAAGCCAAATGCAGTTTTAAAGAGCATACCCGGGATCCAGTAGGATTGTGTTTGTGTTTGGGTCCACATCTGGGCTCATCCCTGCATTTCTTCATCATGTAGTTTTTCTGACCCCCCCCCCCATCACAGTCAAGGAAATATACCTAGCTAACAAAAACAAGCTAGCAAACAATGTGATAAGCTAACAAAACTATATCATCCTTAAAACTTCAAACAAACCACTGTGTCCATAACTTTATAAATTAGCATTTTTTTACTTTAAACATTAACCAAAATATCAACTCCTACTTTACTTGTCCTTTATCGTCAACGTCTTGTTTCTTCCTTTTTTTAATGGCCGATGTCGTGGATGTGTTAGTGCCCTCTGCTGGACACTCAGCAAAACTTATTTATTATTAGTTTTTCCTGTTTTTCATTTCATGATATAATGAATTTAATTTTGCCAAGTAGTCTATCTACGAATGAATGCTTACGAGTTGCACGTTTTAAGCAAACAAACAATAGCTAATTAAGTGTACATTGTCCTTCACCTAACATTATATAACTAAAGATAGTGTGCTGATAGTGACCTTATATTTCAAATATTGGCTTAGCCTAGTGGTAAGCTAGCTATGTATACATTATTTGACAAATAATTTCCAGTTAAATCATTACCATTAAAATGTTTTATATCTAATGTACCAAAGTCAACCAGGCTCATCCCTGCATGGTATCTACTGGCTGCCCTGTAGAAAAAGAGTCGCCCTACAGCCTGATATTCATACCACAATTCACATTCTGGTGGTAAAAATATCTTTCATAGTGCTATTTATTTTGTATAAATGTACGTTTTGTATGTGTATTTGTTGTTTTATTCACGTGTAAACTTGCATGTGCCTCCAAATGTAAGACAAAGGGATCTTTCTTGCCCTGCTTGCACTGTGGTTGAGGAAATGAGTATGCTAGCATCAGAGGCAGAAAGAAACCTCAAAAACCTTATAGTAGAAAGCTTCTGTTAGAAAGTGAAACTTTGAATAGACTTGAACTGACAAAATTATTTTGAAACATGACAGTTATAGACAAAGATTTACTCTGTGTGTTTTGTTTTATATGAAGGAACATTGATAGATGTCTGTTAAACTGATCTGTGTAGAAAAGGGCCAATGCACTTTCATTGATCCATACAAAATACTACTATCAATATAGTTGGAACAGGTATTTTTCCATGCAATAATTTAAATTGTTAAAAAATAATAGGCCTTCATTATGCAAAGACGACATCGCTCTGCAGTGGAAAGCTACACACCTTCAGACCACCGGAAATGAGTGAGTAGAGGGGTGAGGACCACACTACGAGGAAATATGTACGCTACTTTCCACCATTGCATATCTGTGGGTGCATAATGCTCAACCTGCAACCTGCATAAATGAATGTGTCGTCTGTGTCAGTGAGCTTAAAAAGGGGCCTGCAGTGTAGACTAACTTTCATATCTGTTTAAGCCAAAGACACGATGACAAGTCTCAAGCTAATCGTCTCGCTGTTTCTTCTAACTATCATGCTGTCCACAGCCTCAGGTCAAGGTAAGAGCAATATGAAGATTTAATATGTGTATGTGTTACTTTCTTGTGTAATGTTTTGTCATGATATGATGTATTATTTATTTAAGACATGGAAAAGGTGTTTATGATAACAAACATCTCTTTTTTTTTCTCTTTTCAAAGGGGGAATAAGCAGTTGTTGTCGAATAGTTACATCCACTCAAGTCCATCGAGATCGACTGAAAAGCTACTACAAACAGTTTAAGACATCGTGCCCTATTCATGCAGTGGTGTAAGTCTACATTTCATAACAATATGTAATTAGTTTTGAACTCATCTTCAACAATGTTTCAACTTGTTACTGAATGTGTTCTTTGTGTGTTGTGATTTGTTATAGATTTACCACTGTGTTCGGGAAGAGAATCTGCTCTAGCCCCAGCAGAGTGTGGACAAAGACCAGCATGGCCTACCTGGACGGAAAGAACTGGCAGCACCAACAAACTGTTAGACACTGACACAACATCCTTCCTTACTCAGAAAGACTGCACAATTGAATTAAACCTAAAAGCCACTTTAAAACTAAAAGCATGTGTGCTGTTTGATTTCAACAGACTTTGAATGTTTTCCTTTTTCCAAAAATGTCTTACCTCATTCTATTCAAGATACATATTGTTTTTACATTTTTAATATCGATCATATTGTATATATTTAATGTCAGTATTTAAAAAAAAACTTTTCTTTCATTGTATAATGACGGTCAGTGTTGTTTAGCCTTCTAATAAAATGGTCATAATGTAATTGCTGCGTCCTGTTCATTGTCAGTTGGGGAAAACAGATTTCTGTCAAAGTGCGTGTACCGGGAAAGGTGAGATCTGTAATTTAACATGTGGAAGCATCGTCTCCTTTAGATCCACTTTTCTCACCTTTTTGTGTTTCCAATCTACAAAAGATTACTAATATTGGAATCACCCTGCCAACATATTTGAGTCAGAGAGTAAACGCTCTTAATAAAGAAAAGTTAGGAGAAATTCTTGAGTCAGAGAGCAACCAAAACAATTTCTTATGATAACAGTGAGCACATAGCTAGTGGAGGACCCATTTAGAGCCTTTATTAAATTAAAACATGTGAGATGCACATGTACTTTGTAAAGTATCAAAAGGGCCCATGAAAAAAACACTGCCCTCTGTAATTTACAAACTATTCCATTCTTACATGATCAGACCATTAACACTGATGCACTTATCTGTGTTCAACACATTGACTCTTATCATGGTGGAGCTGATTGTCGTTCTTTTTTTTAGGCCATTTGCCTTTATTTAAAAAAACAGATCAACCTTAAGGTTCTTCCAACTGAACTACCGGCCTAATTTTAACTGTCACATGTGCTCATAGGAAATTTGATGTACAAGAATTATCTACAAACTTCAGCTGTCAAATGTAGTAGAACGAAAACTCCAATATTTCCCTCTGAAATAGTGAGGGGAAAGTATAAAGCTGCTTGGGTTTTAGGTACAGTTCTTGATGTATCATAGTTATTCTTTCTTAATGGACTATTCCACCAGTGAATTGAGCAGCATTATTTTACGTTGTGTTAGGTTAACAGCAGCAGGAGGATAAGAGGCTGTTTGCTGGACTTAATTGGATTGTCCCTCTTTGTTGTACATCTTTAATGTACCAATTAATAGTTATGTCTCATTATTTCAAAACACTAAAATATCTCCGTCACCTTTTTTTAAAGTGGTCAAATAACATAGCCCTTGATCCTAAATCTTGGGATCTCTTCAAAACAACGTGTGAAGTATTTCAATGTTAAAGCAGCGTTAGTGTCTTGAAATCTATGTTAATGTTTAGAAGTGCATCGTTTATTAAAATGTGAAAATGCTGCTTTGTCAACCCCAGTTCAGAGAGCTGATACACTATGTGCAGTATACATACATAACATAATGTACTGTTATAGACTTTATACCAGTATGCTGTATGTTAAACCAATATATGCTGCTCTGTTCACAGAACTATCTCTTACCACACACGACCTTTAAAGGGCAAAGATGAACTGTAATTAAAACAACTTAATTAAATGTGAACCTCAACAATCTGAAATCAAATGTGTACACTAAGTGTGGCTTTCATGGTTGAGTCACTTCTAATGTTCTCAGTCTTACTTCTCTATTAGCCACCATGTTCCACCTCCCCTCATCGTTATGATGTGACAGGGGGGGATTCAGGCTGACCAAGGTGGAAGCTTTGGGGGTCTCCAGTTAACATGTTTCCATCACCTGGTGTTGCTAACAACACAATGGGTGACTTAAAACTGTATGTGACAAACGGTTGCTTCCTGTGGAATGAACAGCTCAGCTTCAGTGTGTGTGTGTGTGTGTGTGTGTGTGTGTGGGGGGGGGGCAATGGTTTTTCCCCACCCCTCACCTAAACTGGTGGTCAACCATTGTTACCACTTGTATGACTATGCTATTTATCACACTAATGCAACAGTTACAACTTATCATGAAAGTAGCTTAAGTGCAAAATAAAATAAGTGTAACATATTTACACAGCAGCTATTTTCCCTTGAGGCAAAAACTACTATAATGTTGTGCTGCATGTGTTCCAGGTTGGACAATAAAAAATAAAAAATAAACGTTTTATTCTTTAAACTTCCCAGTTAAAGGGAAACTAAAGAGACAATGACGTGAAAATGTGAAGGAACACCAGCCCATATTTCAAGATAAGCAACATCTTTGTTACGATTGCTTGCCGAAGTAAGTACTCAATCAATTTCTTTTTTTTCTTTGTTTTATTTATTAATAATTAATGTTAGATTTATTTTTGGGCTTTTTTGTGCCTTTATTGTAGAGATAGGACAGCGGATAGAGTCGGAAATCAGGGAGAGAGAGTGGGGAATAACATGCGGGGAAAGAAGCCACAGGTGGGATGTGAATCTGGGCCGCCCGCTTGAGACGACAGCCTCCATACATGGGGCGCGCGCAGAAAAGAGCAAGTGAAATTTCCCACACACCCTCTTCTTGGGTTAACCGCAAAGGATCTCTCCAATGCGCGCGCACACACACACACACACACACACACACACACACACACACACACACACACACACACACACACACACACACACACACACACACAGAGTAATGTCACAGATGTATACACATCCCTGACTCCCTTGACTCTGTGCGTTCCACACTATGTGCCTCTTTTCATTTAAGTGCTGTGGAGATAGCCAGTGTTTTTAACTACTCTTGCAATGATATCCTTGGTCGCTCCTCTCATGGCAAGCTGCCCTAAACCTAAACCTGAGCAGTGGCTGAATGACATTTCCCTGATCTTGGACAAACATGCACACACGTTGGGTTTAAGTCGAAAATGGATAAATATCAAGTAGTCCTGGGGGTTTCAAGAGACTACTTATCTGAATACCAGAGAGCCATTACATCTGTAGGGACAGATGCATTTCCAACCTTGTATCCACAGTCATAGGCACTGCAGGTCCATTTTAACACTTTTAGCTGTCCTGTAAATCCCTGTAGTTCTTCTTGTGTTGTTCAATCATCCTATCTTCATGAAAAATGTCTCGCATTTTTGTTTTTATACAATTTCCGAAATTAAGTCTTCACCCTCTCCTTGGGCTGTAGCTGTGCCTCCTGTGTACCCAGCTGTCTTTGAGCAGTTGGAGCTTGTGTCACTTGTTTATAATCATCTAAGACTACTCAAAGATATTTTTTTAACACTGTTGGTTCATGCATTCTAAGTTTGATAGATACCTCTTTTACCTCAGGTTGTGTTCAAACTGTTTTTAAACATGCTTTAGTGCAGCCTCTTACCAAAACATATTTACTCTAATTTATTATGTTTTACTGTGTCATTTGATTCTTTTAATTGTTCTTTTAGAGTATTTTCATTTTATTTTAAGCCTGTACAGCACTTTGGTCAACTGTGGTTGTTTAAAATGTGAAATATTAACAACTTTGATTTGAGTATTTAAAGGAGTCTGTTTTTCTTGACTTTGATGTCCTTGACTCATATAGGTCAGTCTTTCAACTTGAATTATTTATTATGTAGCGGTCTTGGGGGCAGTTTAAACTTTGTGGGCATGTTGAACATGAGCTGTAAATCCAAAACTGTGAGCTGAAAGAGGCTAAAATGCTCCTCTGAGCTGAGCTGCAGAGTCAGGTAATAATTATGTTACATTATAAAGTAGTATATCACTGTTAATGTTGTTAAGTGTTTAATAAGTAGTCTTGTAAAAAAGTCTTTACTTTTAAGCTTTTACCCACAGTAGAATGTAATACATATGTGTTTGAAAGTTCTTGAATTACATATCAACAATTGTTGTACCATGTTATATTTCATATTCTTAGAATTAGGAGCACAGTCACCTCAAATATTCTTCTGTGAATAGGTGGCCACAAACAAGCATACACCCATAGTCACAGCTCAGCAGGAAGGAAGTGGTTTGGACTGCATGGCAACTAATGGTTTCATCTGAAACCAAGCAGAAAGGCAATAGTATCACAACTAAGATACTACATCATGTTACAAAATGTTGTTTTGCTTTTTTCATTTATTATTCCATAAAAACAGAAAAAATTTGACTTTTACCTGTAAGTGCCCATAGCAATCATACTCAAATATCTAGTAGAGAAGAAAGTTATACAGAATATATAAAACAATACATCTTGCAGTAATTACATTATATCAGCACAACTTGTCCTAACCTCCTTCAGTGTGTTTTGTTGTTTAGTGGGGGGGGTTTCCGTGCTTGTGCCTCATAGTAGTCTTAAAAGTTGTTGTGGTAGACTGTGAACACTACAAAGAGACTCTGAATTTGATAATGCTGAATAGACAGCCATGTGTAATTTTGAGAATATGTGAGTCTTAGTCCACACACTGGACATTTAGGATCATCTTGGATCTGTGCATGTCCCAAGTTATGACCGGGGAAATCATTGCAAACCCCTAAAACCAGAAACCAGTTTTTCAACACATGCCTAAACAGTTATAAACATTGTGAGCTGCCTTCGTGAGTTCCCAACACAATCCCTATTTTTTAAAACAAAAGCAAAAGTTTTCTTCATTTCAGCTTTCGAAGTTTAACTGATGATAATGATCCAAATTATTATGATGACATCTAGTCATATGTCACAAGCCATGTCTGGGTAACTTGTTGTACCTTTAAGCAGTATAGATAATATCTCTGTCTCTGGCATGTTTGTCTTTGACTAGCTTCGTTAGCTTTACTGTTGGTCTATGTTGGTTTCCTTCTCGGTCTTTTATTTGAGTGTAACAACACAATGCGAGCCCCCAACACCCGTCAAATGTATTAAACTCTGATAAGGTTTCATTTATACATGACATGGACACTTTTTAATTAGTCAAAAATACTTTATTATGAAATGTCATGGAGACAAACAAACACATTTACGACAATTAGCATGGGTCAACATATATTTCAATATAAACAAAAATATTTAATGATTAATATAAAACCGTATAAAGTCTATTGTTTTATTTGTTTGAAGTGTCTTGACGGTTGATGCAATATATCAAGACAAGTCCAGTCAGAGAGAGTAATGTTTGTTGTCTGTGGTAACTTTCAGTTGCGTTACACAAATTTCCTTTGACCCCTCCTCCTTCCTTTGGACTTTTTCCCCGGTCTTTTCCTCCCATTCCTGCCTTTCCCTGGTTTGGCCCTGTTGGATGTGTTGGCCACTGCTGGGGTGATGATAGTTGCTGATCCGCCTTCTTCACTCTGGCTCTGCTGTAACAATTCTTTTGTCTCCCTGTCGACCTTCAGCATTGCTCTCTTAGCCCAGCTATTTTCAGGATTGGAGCAGAGTCTTGCCCCTGACTTCGTCCGGAAGCTGCAAATGATTTTGGACTTGTTAATGAAATATTTATGCTGATGTATCATCTTACATTTTCTTATTTAATAAATACTAGTTTCATAAATGATGAGTTACAATCTTTTAACGCTATCAATCCATGCACATTGTGTTATTATAGCCAAGGTAAATGCAACTGGTGGTCTCATTGCAATCTATTTTCAAAGTTACTATTTTCCTTGAAAACTGAAAGCTGTTCCAATGAAAACTGTCGACACTTTCTAAAAAAGATGATTGCTGTTATATGTCCTTTTTGTAAATATAATTCTCAAATAACCAGAGCATTAAAAAAATAAATTCCATTCGCAAATAGTGGATTGTTGTGACGGCAGAAATCTCACACACAAACAGGAGCTGTCTGCATGTAGAGAGCTGTTAGGAATTGTGCCGTTGGTTTTGTGATTCAGGTCAGGTGCACCAATTCTTTCAAAATATGTACCTAACTTTTAACCCTGTGAATGTATAGGACCACTTACATTACGGCTTCGATTGGACAGGCACCGCCAGACTGGATGATGTAATTCATGATTTTGTCTAATTTGATTTTGGTGTTGGAGTGTCGGTCGCAGCAGTTTGTCAACGGTCCATGGGCTGAATAAGGCAGACATAAAAAAAAGAAAGATTAAGTACTCTTCATTTATCCTGCCAAACTTACAATCAAAAGTTTTTTATATGTTTTTGACGGTATACTCACTTGCACTGGCCAGGCTGGACCATGTGGTGAAGAAGAGAAAAGCGACTGACAGCAGGCTGGATCTCATCTTTCTCAACGAGTTGTTTTTTTTTCGTCAGTTGCTGGTTGTTGTATCTCTGAGTACAAATTGACCCAATCTGGATCACTTAGTCTTACTCATACAGCGGGTGTGGAGTGTCAGTTCATCGCTTTGCCATTCATCAAAGTTCTCTCTGTCGTTCTGATCATTCAAGTCAAGATCTTGTGTCTTATACAACAAAACCCCCACCCCCCACCCTCCCAGCCGGAGGACAATCGGAAAGGAAACAATGAGTTCAACTTTCATATGCTAGAGTGAAGAATGGACCCTCCACCACAAACCAGGCCACAACTTAACCATTACAACTAAAGTGTCACTCGTAAGTAGAAATGCTCATAGAGGTGTGTACATACAAAGACAGATAGCGTCACTTTCCCTTACACTCACTCTAAAAGCCACAATGTGCCTCTACTTTTAGAGCCACTAAAAGTATCAGCCGAAAGGAGGTTTGAATTTAAATGAAATGGTTGACCAGGTCTCTGGGAATTTCTTGTAGTGGGTTAAATATGATAAACTATATTAGGAGTGCTTGTGTCATATTACTTCATATAACCATCTAAAAAAAGTATCTGTTGAGTGCAATAAGCCTGACCTTTAGACGGTCTTCATGGAAACAAATAAATGTGTTAGGGAACTTTGTTGAACTTTGATATGCAAATTCAGACAGTTTGACAAATGTGAAGCCTTTTGACAGCACTAACCTTTGAAGATAGGAGAAAAATACTAAAGAAGTACTGCATCAGGTAACCTGCACCATCCAGTTTTATGTAACCCTGCCATGACAGAGCACATCAATTGGTCATAAAACCAACTGTGGAGACTTTTGAACTGATTAACAGTCTAAATCCAAAGCTCTTGTGAAGACCTTATGGTTTGTGTTGATTTTGGCGCCCCCTGTGGACTAAGCTGTACGACTTATCTCTTTGCTGATTCTTTCTTGTATGTATACACAAGTGAAAAAATAATCCTTTAAAGGTCTATCATATGATGTGAATATTTTAGGTATGTAAAACATTTTTTAAATGTAAAACAGGCTGCTTCTTCAGCATCCTGTCAATAGTATTATCTGACACCCACCCTAGCAGCCAAAACAGACACAATAATCAACTGAAAGGATCAATCTTCCTCCTAATACTCTCATTTGCCTTTTTTAGGTTATAAAGAGTCATCAATACTAAATTCAGTCTCTAATAACCAAAATGCTCCCATGTGGTCTTATAGGCTATCAATGCCTTTTATGATTAAAAAACAGAATATTAGCATTAAGTTTGACAACTTATATGTATTTTGAATAACTGTCACCGCTGCAATTATATTTGATTCCAAGAAAATAATTTACAGCACAAAGACTTTGTCTTTGAATATAGCAGGACTATAGGACTAAAACAACTCCACTTACCTTTATGTTTTGTTTTTTTAATTACCACTGTTGGCAAAAGAATACGATTGGCAGGACAGGAAGTTATTCAATTTCCAGAGTGATGACAAGTTCATTTTTTAAACTGTAATGTGTGGCCTTGTATGTTATTTAATTCCCAATCATCCAAATGGTTTGGTTTTCTGATACATTTATTTAACAGGACGTAAACATGAGCTGTTCTTCCGTTTTTCATCACATATCAATACCATGTCTTGACCTAATTACGCCATGGAGTCCAGAAACATGATTGTATAGTTAACTCAGTTTTATGTTAACCTACGAACCTTTAAGAAGCCAGATTGTATTATTGGAGAGACACAACTCTTGAACTTTAACTACCAGGGGATTGAAAAGTTAAATACAATTTATGGGCATACTGGTGGATATAGTACTGAAAAGGGTATTCTTATTGTAGTTAAAGGGAGAACGATGAGGAGAGAGAAAATAAATGATGTATTTAGAAAAGGGAACTCGGAATTTTTTACACTATATTTACCAAACCATTTAGCCAAACATACTGACCATATCATTGACTCAATTTAAAGCCTTGAATAAGAAAGAAAGAGTGGAGTGACAGTAAGATGACAACAAGGAGGATGTGAAAGTGTGGGGTAGGGGGAAGTATAAAAAGAAGAAGATAAAAAGAAATGCAAGAAGATCCTTTGGAATATATTAAAAAAGTGTTGAAAAGAAACTCGGACACTAGATAAAAAATGAATGAAACAGAGGAGAACTTTAAGCCAAAAGTCTGCATTTGGGCCTTGTGCTACATCATTATAACTACTCAACATTGACAGCAAAAAGATAAACAACTGATTGGCTGTCCACCTGCTGTCAGGATTGAAAACAAACGTTAGCTCGCTCCTGAGTCCTTCTGTCAACAACGACAAATCCCAAGACACACAAACGCTTGACGTCCCAAATGTCCGGTCATTAAAACAGCTGAAAACCTGCAAGAAGCATACAAACACACAAAATACACACATTTTATAAAACATAGGACATACACAAACCCACAAAGGTAAGCAGACACACAAATACATACACACACTCACACACACACCTCCACACTCTATATTCCAGCCTCATCATTACCATTCCTTTGGCAACCTGTTTGTCAGAGCAGAAATGCCTGGCTGGATTATTCGTTCCTCTCTTATTCATTAGTTGTTGTCCTGGGCAGCAGCCCGCGCTCTTGGTTGGCTGACAGCTTAACTGATAGAAATTAGTCTCCTGATAAAGCCAGAGAGTGGAACGTAGCAGCACAGGAAATTACAATCAATACTGACTCTCATATCCTCATCCGATATTGACCCTAGATGGGAATGAGAAGCACATTGTTGAGGCCCTTTACGTGCACACCAGGGTATGCTAAAGAACATATTTATACGGTATATGGATGTACATTTTAAGGCTGCGATCAATGTGGTAATTGTTTTACAGAGACCTCCTTACCAAGCGAACAGCACAAGTGAGAAAAGTGATAATGAAAACAAACTTCTCTTTTTAAACCACAACTTTCTGATCACACTCCATTTGCACCAACTCATGTATGATTCACGCACACAAAATCGTGGTTGTATCCTCTATGAATCTTTCATGCCAGTCTTTAACAATAGCTGCTTTTAGGATCAGGCTGAGGCAGAGAGGAGTGCTTCCTGGTATGAAATACTTCACTGGATGATACACGGTGCAAAGCAAACACACTCCTACAGGCACAGACACAATGTGAGTGGCATGTCTAGAAGGCGCCCACTAATTAAAGCAGTGTCTCATCAGATGGTTATATTTGACTTTGTCTGCTCCCGCTGTTTAATAAAGAACCAGCTCCAGACAGATCAAGGTTTGGCTTTATCCTTAATCCAACAATGAAAAGTTGTATTGATTCATTTTGAAAGATAAAGATATGATTCTGTCCCTTTCTTTCTGAGAGTTATACGATCTGACAACCCGATTAACTCCCACTCTCTCATTTCTGTCTGTGTACACACACTGAAAAGTTCATCTAGAGTAAGAAAAAAAGACAGGAAACTTCTACAAAGGCCAGGTATGCTGTAACAAAGAGCTGTGTGTTTGAGTCTGTGAGCGGTTGGAGCCGCCACGTGACCAGCCAAACGTTTGTCTGGGGAAAAGAGCAGTGCACTTCAGGTCATTTTAAGAGCTGGAGATGTGTTGGAAAGAGCAGAGATGTTTCTGATATGTAACAGTGGAGACATATGCACCGATCAATACGCCGACCTTTTTTGGAGTGATTGCATGATGTTCTGCTTTGCCCCCAGCACCAGTGCCCACCAGAGGTCCATCAAACATCAAACATTGTTGTTCCATGTTTCAGCAGGAAAGGTAGAACCATTTTTCCTTTTGTGCCTTGCTCTTTTCTTTTACCTCAGGATTTTATTTTTGTATGCTCCTATCTCTGTGCCTTTCTTTCTTCACACATACACCCATGAACTCAAAGAATACTTTATGGAAACATTTTACAATTTCTACACTTCATTTAGCAGACACTTTTATCCAAAGTGACATAAATCAGAGCGTGAATATGACAAGGATCTAGAAAGGAAGAAACGATGTTAGTATAGTGCAAACGAACAGCTTTAAGTCTGATCAGACACACAGGTGCTGACAGGTAGTGTACAGAGGCTAAGCACGACATCAATGGCTGCTGTCGAAGGTTATCAAATAAAACCATCATCATCATCAGTATCATTAAGTGCGTTGGTGTTCATGAAACGGCTGGGTCTTCAGCTTTTTCATAACGGTGCAGGAAGTAGGCATAACTTCTTTGATGATCTGTAACTATAATTAACCACACAGCAACCAATATTATATGTTTGATATTTGCATGATAAAGTCTCAAAAGGCACATACAACACAATCATGTCCTCAGACGGCTGCTATAAATGGGCTAGCAGGGCTAAGCCCTTCCTTTCTTATTCAATGAAAATGAGAAAAGCATTCTTCAAATAGGTATCAATAGATTGTTATACATTTTGGTGGAAAGTAGACTAGACTAGACTTTACACAAAACACAGAGTATAACACAAACAGAGTTAGAGCTCATCAAACAGTCAAGAGTACCCACTCTGACCTGTTCAGCCAGTCCTTTTGTTCAGGGCCACTATAACAGCAGGGATCAGGCTGTTCCCAAGGCAAGCCTTTCTGCACCTCATTGCTCTGTACCTCTGTTCTGAGGGAAGTGGGGTGAGGTGGGTGTTCAGTGGATGTGTGATGTCCTGTTCTATTGAGCTTGTAATGTGTGTGATGGCCCTGTTGTTGAGTTCTGTTAGGTTTGGTGTGGGGAGACCTATTATTCTGGCAGCTGTGGTTGTGAAACTAGAGTACCAAAAACTAGAAACTAGAAAAACCCGAAAATAAACCAAATAGTTTCAAGAAAAAACATGCAATACCTCTAAATGGGCTTATTTTCTTTACATCTCAAGCACTGTAGCATCCTCTTCCATTCACTTCCATCCTGTAAATGACTGACAGATGTCATGGCATGACCCCTTGATTTGCTGATATTATAAGCTAAATTCATTCAGCATGCAGACTTTTGACCAATTACACAACTGTACTGTTACAGACTGTAGATGCTATAAAATCAACTCAGCGTACCTTAATTTAAGAAAGGATCTATTATACTTCACATTGCTTAGTAGAAAAGAACATTTCTTAAGTTAAAATGACCACGACCGTGATGCTAAACCTGTTAGGCTGTTGAGGACAATTTCCATCAT